GTGACGAGAATCGCCAATAACGGTGCTCGCGAAATCCTGGAAATAATTGGCTCGTTGTGGATTCATAGTCGCGGCACGAGAAAGGGACAACGAACGCAACCGCTCTTTCGATTAAGCGAAATCGTCATTTTTCACGCCGCCACATTGTTGGCTGTCGACAGTAAGCCGCGCGGAAGAAATATTTATGTATCCCGAATGAAAGAAATGCATGATCTTATAAAATTTCGTGACCTTGATTAAAAATGGCAAATCTGACCTACTTGTTTTTCTCGCAAGTAATTTCTCTCATAATTTTGTTATATCGAGAAATGTCTATGAGTATTCTGTAATATATGGAAAAGTAAATAGCTATCGATCAATGGTACCGTGATACCTGACGCTTAAAATAACGTTCTAAGAATCTAAATTTTAATTGCGAACCGTAGACTCCGCAGGCTACGCAGCTGTCTTATTATTAATCGGCTCGATTGTTACGTTCAATAAACAGCTAAACGCGACGCGTAATAGAAATGATTGAGCGCACGACCGTATGTATTCTTAGTTAATATAGCATCACGGCAATTTACGGCTGTCGAATGATTTCCACTGACAGCAGACTATTAATATCGAAGATAGATTGCGCACTTGTAACATCACCCGTGTACTTCGAGGAGGATCTTTTTCCAAAGTTCCCGACCACCGATGTGGATGGCAAGCAACGGTGGAAAGTAAACTCGTCGGGTGGTCAACGTCCGGGCGCCCACGTCATACTAGTCGAAGCGGAATCAAGTTAAAGACAACGCGTGGAAAAAAAACAGAAGCACACCGGAAGAAAAACGCGGACTTGCGCCGTCAACCGTACGGTATCTCAATGAGTACGCGGCAAATATTATGACAGAGAACACATGGACGCGAGGGTTCCGGCGGCATATGCGTATGAAAGTCGCTGATCATATGGGGAAGAAATCGAAAGAATGCGATTGCACGAGATAAAATCGAAACCGAAATAAGTCACGGCGATAATGCCGCAATGCCGTGTACGCGAAACATCTATCGTTAGAAAACAGCAGATTATTTCCAGATCGCTGAAGAAAAGTAACTAACGGATCTGAAAGAAAATGGGAGGAAAGGGAGGAAAAAGAAGAGGGAAAGAGAGACGCAGAAGAAACAGAAGCACGCTCGGTGGAACAGAGGGAGAACAGGAATTCTTCTCGCGATGGAATGAGGAAATTACGAGGAGGAGGAAGCGACAAGCGAGCCTCGGATGTCACCAGCGGCTGGTCCACGTCAGGCGTATCGCGAACGGGACGACACGCTTCGTGAATGTTGCACGGTCGGGGTTAGACCTGACAGAACATTCGCCGCGAACTAACACGTGCCATGTGCGTTCGCGCATTCGCGCGCGTGTATTTAGATTAAGACCTACAACGCTTGGATCCGGGAGGTCGCCGACCTCCGCAACTGCGACGCAAGAAGAAATGTAAATCCCATCAGTAGAAAAAGGAGAAAAGGTCGAATCGTCAAGGCATTAAATCGTTGATAATCTACAATTTTTTTTCGCGAGATTCGATGGCGAGATACGAACGTGGGAAGGAACGAAATCGATTCAGCTATGTGAAAATTGCGATAATATATAATGTACGTCTGATTCAATCGATTACAGAGAAATTCACATAATATAATTGTTCAAGGAATTATGGAATTTAATTTTTCATGAAACGTTGTTTATGGAAATGCAAATATGAGATACGATTATCACGAGATCCCGTTATGCATTTCTCGTCAAAGCTTTGAATTCTAATTCGTATGAGGCGCACTTAAAAGATCATTTCCTATCAATTATGGTAGGATTATCATAACCCGGTAATTAGTTCGGATCTGCCATTAGCAGGCCGGAGCTCATTAGTTTGTTAATGTTGCCTACGATGTTACCAATGTGCAATCGTCCTTTAATGCGCAGCATCATCTTCCGACATCTCCGGGACACGGAAACTACGTTATAGAATATAGAAGATTCCGAGAAGTAAAGAGCTTTTACACGCACAGCGGAAGATTTTTCTCAAATACCAAAGTAGATGCTCTCGAAGTTTCCATATGTTCTTTTACAAGATGCGAATTTTATACGCGGAAGAAGTGCATAAAGTCATGAGATCTTAAGATCATGAAAGGCGTGTCTACGGAATAAAAGGGTACCTCGACTGGTCGCAAAGATACTCAGCTTCACTGCGAATGTTCTCGCGAGCGAACGTTAATACTTGTAAATATGGCTGTGCAAACTGCAAAAATTGTCGATGCTTGACTGAATATAGCGGGGTTGGTCGGACCCTGACTCGGGGCATATCTACTACCTTGCAGCGCCGGTCGAGAGGTCGAGGCTCGTTAAGTCGGCAATGTAATCTACGACATTACGACGTCTAATCGTCTCTAATGCGCTGCGTCGTCCTCAAATCCTCGTCCACGGCTGGAACACGGAAGGCGTCGAATACGCCCGTAGGGACTCCGTAGACCCCAAAGATTGAAAACCTAGGCGACGTCGTTGGTTCATGGAATTCTGTATGCGACGGCGGCGACTGTGGGAAACGGGAAATTTAACTCGGGAGACTCTCGCGTGGGTCGGGCTAATACGTGCACTGTCATTATACTCGCTACGACGTTCGATGCGTATGATGGACCCGCTAATGGATGGACTATGTCGATCGATTACGGAAAATTGGAATTGGAAGATGAATGCGCGGAGCCGCATTTGGTCGCGATTGCAAATTATGATCCTGTCACTTGCATGTTCCGTAGCTTTATCGAGTTACATAATAGATTAGTTATTCGCAAAATTGTATGCGTAAACAATTCAAACATTTTCATAAAATCTGTTATAAAGAAATAAGAAAAAGAAACGTTTACTCAATATTTTTCAATCATTGTGACAATATATGAATCAATGGGCAAATTAAAAAAATCATTGTGTTTATTAAAATAAGTAAAGAAATTCAAGCGAAATTTCACGTATACGCATGGCACATATTCTCGTACGGGAATGCTGTACGAGGCCAACTGACCTGCATGAATCATTAGTGGTCTAGTTTAATGATTTACAGTCTGATGTTTTAGTAGTATCACGGTAACTCGACAACGAACAAGAAAAGGAATTCCTCGTTAAAGAAGTCTCAACAAACAAGGACAAGTACCCACATCCGACCTACAATTTCTCAAAACATCGGCTCCGAACATTGATTTATCGTCATATACGTTTAAAGACTCGTTGTCAAGACCGTAAGTACTTTAATGCGGTACAGTTACGTGATACCAGCCCGGTATATATCATAACTGTACACCTAATGGAGATACACGATTGTGGAGATTGGACACGGTTTTGCTAGACCCGGGCGAGTTACCGACCTCGTGCGATCATCTCACGCTACGAGAGAGAGAGAGAAAGAGAGAGAGAGAGAGCAGGGAACGCTTTCCCGCATTCGACGCAATCCATTTAACAACGAAACAAGCCGGACGAAGGTAACCAGAAGTTCCGTTTAATATTGAAGTACAATCCGATCTTCACGACGCGGTACATAAAGCAAATTCTTCTTGCATTCAATAGCCCGAGAACACGGAATCTACGTTTCTTAGTTGCAAATCCCGGGAATACGGCTACGAAAAGGAAACTCTCCGTGCATTCGAGAGCATTCAAATGTGTTTTCTAACGTGCTTCTCGAGAGCAAGAATCCAATAATAGGGCAATTATGTTTGTATATGCACAGCTGCTGAAAGCAAGAAAGAGAGATACAGGGCGCGTTAAATTCGCGCCATTAATATTTACAAATATTGTGCAATAAAGTAGAGTGCTGTTACGTAGATGGAATGTCTAGTGTGCCTTCCTTTTCTATGAGATAAAAAAAAGAATTTACAGTTTCTCGTTTATTCAAAAGAGGATATTCTATAAACGTATAATTTGTCACGGAAAGCGCAGTTCTCGGAATAAACGACAGGCTGGCGAACCGGAATCAGCGCGTCCTCAAAGCGCGAGAAGTCACACGGTGGCTACCGCCACTCTCGGTGCGTCGTTCAAGGTCGTCCAAGGTCGTTCCCGAGGTTCTTGGACTCGAGAAACGCTCGTAACAAACTGATCCCCTCCGACCTTCGGCGCGGCGTGGCCGTTGAAAAGAAGGCGAGTCGAGAGCGGATGTGTTGCGAGAAAACGCAAGGCCTGCATTATTACTTTCCTTTATCTCTCTTCCTCGCCGGTGCCACAGTTGCACCAAGTTGCACTACTCCGTGCATCTCCTGGGCACATCCCGTCTAGTCGTTCCCTTTTTATTCCGCCGACAAATACGAGCGCGCGGTGTAATGACGATAAAATCGAAGGACTGCTCTCGACTTGCTTCTTTGTCGCTCCGCCCCGTCGTCCATTTTTCTTCGGCTCCTCTCGAACACTTCTTCATGCGGCTCGCCCGTTTCCGGTCGTCCTGCCGTTACACGCCTGCCCATGATATTCTTCCGGGCTTCTTCTCTCCCGTCCTAAGGGTCGTGCGAATCAGCCGGATCCTAATATTTTGTAATTGCAGAGCTCTTCTTACGTCATCCAATATCGTGCAAATTATACGCTTAATAGCGTCTACAAGTTTTCATCAATTCATCGGCCTTTCCTTTTCAGGATTAACACTTGTCACGCAGCTGTCCATGGCCCCAGCTCGCGGGATGACTCGCATGTATCGCAATCTGCGTTATAATTGTGTACGCGGCAATTTCGCGTGCTAATTATAATCGCACGAGTGCACGGAAATTTCTTCCTTTTTTCTCTCTCCTCCCTCGATCCTTGTCATCCCTTTCTTGTGCCGCGCCCCGGCTTTTTCCCGTCCGTCCCGGTTCTTCTCCTCGCGGCTCGGCTTCTCAACCAAGAGATATTCCCTCGGCCTGCTGACTAATAATATAAAACGGCCGATCCTCTCCGATGTATTATGCCGAGGTACGATTCACGCACGAGCGGGCACCGTAAGGGGGCCCTCAAGAAGAGTCTCTCGGCGGGATGGAATCTGGTCGAGCGTGTGTCACGGCCGACACGGCGCACCGGTGCGAGAGAAGGAGTATAGAAGAGGAGGAGGCGTCGTCGCGAGAAAATCATTTCGAATTACGTAGCGGCGCGAGGCGATTCCATCTCCGGACAGCGTATGGCAACGTAGAGGATCGTTTCGCCGTTGTGCAATGTCGTCTTACGCATTATACGGGAGGCCCCCCGGCGTATAGATTGACCGCGATCGCGCGGCAAGATTGGGATAATGAAGTTGCGCTTACGTGAAAACTACCGGAATAGAGCCGCGGAATAAATGCGCGTATACGGGTTCGAGTTATTACATCGCTGTCACGTTTTACCGCACCGGCCTGGTCTCGCTCCTCGACACGTACGACTGTGTTTGAGAGCGAGGCACAACTCCACGCGAGTGACACTTATCGCGACGGTTTATCGTCGTACCTTATCGCGCGAAATTGCCGTGGAGATGCGCTTCGGAGTCTCGCGGGTGTTCTGAGAAAGGGTAATGAGCGCGTCGTAAATCCATACACGATGCCTTCAATCAAAAATGTACGAAAGAGATTTCCAGGACGTCTTACCGACACCCGAGATCACGCCGTCCCGCTTCTCGTACGTTATTTCTTAACGACAGACTTTCTTTCACTAATCTGTATACGTCCTCGCGATAAGTATGACGCCTTATCATGCGAACAAGATATGCGCGAAGAAAAACTATAAATTGATCGTACAGATCATCGCGGTTAGATGCTAGTCTAAAGAGATAACTGAGAAAGGCGATAGAGATTCGTAATGGATCTTGCGGTGTGTTCGATCGGCGAACCTAACTTCCCCTCGTTATAAAGCACCTCCTCGAAAACGACACTTCTCGCGTAATCGTCCGCGACGTTGCTACGCAGCTTCCTGTGGGTAGCATAAATCTCCTCGCTTCCTCGTATAAATTACACCGGGGGATGTCCAAGCAGTCGACGGGGTCCCCAGATGTAATATCACGACACTTGGCGATAATCTTCCATGGTTCACTAAGCCCGTTCTGTAGTGTCATCAATTTACATCGGCTCCGGAAATGGTCGCCGGCTACACGATGCTAATTGCATTCGGCGCTCACGAAAGGGATCGAAACTATGTGATATTTCATTGACAATACCGTACTACTGATAAATTAACCCGTTAGAAACTCGTGCTTTATATATTTCTCAGGTGTTAATTACGGAGGCACTCCACATGAGGCGTTTCCACAGAGTACATCAAGGCAAAAATATGCATAAAATAAATATTCAGAATATTAAAAGCATTAGGATGCAAATGAAGTTAATCCGATCTGATTATTCCGCACATTTTAATGTGCCTAATAACTTTCGTTTACGACGACGTCCTTTTTTCCTGTTCTCTTATACACGTGTCCCCAAGATTTGTTTTTTACGTCAAAAGAAATTTACACTGCCGCCCGGGGAAAATAATCATCGTGTCAATTAATGGCGGGACCGCGTCGCCGCGTCATGCAATCTTTCATCTGACGTGCGCGAAGATAAATCTTATTTAAATGAGTAGCACGCAGGAGGCGAGGAAAAAACGGTACCGTTTTGTGCTCGAGTGTCATGTATGAGTGTTTACTCGCTCAAAAAGTCGTTTCGCCATCCGGTTTACTCTCGCACGCTCGTCGCTCGTTACCTTTCCGTATATACCTTCCGCTCCTCTTCCTGTTTGTTTCCAACTTTCCGTGTCATTCTTCCATCGCCGATTTGCACTTGTCGCTTCCGCGTGTGCGACCCCCCCGTTAGAATGATATTCAGTATGTAATATACGTACAGCACATGATGATACGGCATGTCTACCGCGTTTACAAAATAGCTTAACAATTAAGTTGTAAATTGGATCTCCGTCTAAATAAAGTTCAATTAGAATTAAATTCTCTATTGTCTACATTCTATACAATTCTCATGTGCTCCTGCAATTTTCTACAGTCGCGCGAAGAACCTTCCAGAAATCTTTCCCTTCGTGTCAATACGAAACAGTAAATTATAATCAATCGATAATAAACACATTGCCGTGAGAGGTGTTAACGCGACGTGAGTAAGAGTTACGTCACTGCGCACAGGGTTCATAAATCGTCATTCGCGACGCGCGACCATTTCTCTCCATTCTCTTATACTTCTTTCCCTTTCCTTTTTTTTCTCTTCTCTTCATTCTCGTTCCCGTCGTCTCCCGTCGTCGTCGTGCATCCAGGCTGAGTTAAATTGGCATGAAGCGTGACCGGTGTCCACTCTTCTCTTCCTCTTCTTTTTCCTCCTCGTTCATCCTTTATTCTCTCTCTTTCTGCTTTCTTTTTCCCATCTATCTTTCTCTCTCTCTCTCTCCATCTCTCGCTGCGAATCACCTCTCTCGCGTTCTCCTCACCGCTCTGCGCAGCGGCTCGGCGGAGCAGTAGCTTCCGTATCGCGCTTTAATTACAATCGCGATCCCGTTTTTTTACAGTACTTTTATTAATTGAGGGGGCCCCGCGTGTGCGTACTACTCCGACCGCGAGCACACGCTCGCGGACAATGTAACGTGTATACTTATCGAAGCCACGCGTCCCACCGTAACAAAAGACGATTACGGTACTCGATTCGTCGTGGTCACACTTGTCGCGGGCTCACGCGCACCGCCGCACCGGTGACAATCAAACATTCAACGTAAAACCCGCAATTATTTTCTGGGCGACGTCGCTCGCTTGCAATCAAGATAAACCTCATGATCGCAGCTTGCTCTTAATTGCCCCCGCGATGTGTTGAACGGTAGCGTACAGCTTCACGAATGGAACAAAGGACAAAACGTCTATATGAAAAATTTATACCGCAGGAAAAATATTTTATTCTATGTTTAAAATTGCGTGGAATAACAATTAGAAAACGGTAGGTCACTCAAACATTTCTGTAATAAAAAAAAAACCATTACGATAAACCAGATTAAGATTTCTACGATAGCTAGTTTTAATAGAATGAACGTATCAGATATCTAATGATTTGCTTCATAAAGGGAAAATTAACTCATCGCCTTTAACAGTCAATTTGAGTTCAAGGTTCAATTTGTAAGCCGCGATTATATGGAACAAAAGAATCACCCTGCGATAAAACGCATTATGGCGTCTCATTCATTATGGTAGCACATCCTTCTTACCTTCCTGTATTCGTTCGGTGTATAATCGCATAGTTAAAATTCGTAGTTATTTTTTAAAACAGTACTTTGATCCGGAAAGATGGCATAATTTTAATTCATATTTACTGTATAAAAGTCAGCATATATCCTTTCTTTTAATTGCATTTTTAAAGATTCAATTATTCCTACTTGTCTTTTGATACACGAAATTTGAGAGTATTTGTATTTATAATGAGAACTATAACAATACATTTATTTCATAATACATCCGACAGTTCGGATTTATTGTCGGAAAGATGAAAAGAAATTTGCAATTTTCGCACGGAAGGCTTCCGCGCGGCATATCCTCGTTTTTTTTCACCGGCAAATTATTCGATTGTTTCGCAATCTTAACGATGTAAATAATTGCTTTCTGGTCGCACGCCCCGTTCGTGTTTTAGATCGCGAGATGTCAGTTAACGAACTACGATCTTGCAAATAGGATGCTATGCAAATGATCTTGCCGTTCTACATGGATTATGGTGGATAAGTGCCGTCGGAATCAGAAACTTCCTTCCTTGTTGATGTAACCCCATTAACATAAGGTAATGAAGAAAATGGGTGTAAATAAGAAAAAAACAAGTAGGATGTTAAATTAGCGCATGATAGGCCGTACATAATGTTTCACTACACAATCTATGATACAATCTATCTTCTAAAACTGAACAGCGATTATGAAATTTTATGTCTTGATTATCTTATGAGTATATTACATCTCATAGATGCTCGGAAATTCATAAAATAGCTAATATTCTTTGTACGTATAATCGAAAGTTTTAACGGAACAAATACAAAACTTCAGAAGAATGATGTATGTATATGTATATATATTGACTCATGGCTACAATGAGATACCGTTCAACGGAAAGAACGAAGGCCGAAAAGAATCGTCCTAAAAATACTTCAAAGCACTTAAGAATACCGCTAGAACGCTAAGCCGTAAAATATCATCTGAATATTATAGGAACGGAACTTTGTGCTCCGCGAGGTCGAAAATCCCTTTGCAACAAGTGACAATAATTATGCATAAGTACCGTATACTATTTAATGAACGAGTTATAGTGCTGGTTTAGAAAATCAAAAGACAAACAAGCATTGATTGTTATATAAAAATATTTTTACGAGAGATTAAAAATTAAAAATGATGTCTCACGTTATGAAGCTATATATACCTATATATAATATTCCGCGCTCCGTCTAAAACTTCTTATTTATTTAGAAAATTATTCGGTTATTATAATAAATTGTAGATAAATCCCTAATTTGACTAAAGATGCATCATCTCTATCATGTTTACTTATGCGAAGGATAATTGTCAAAATTAATCACCTTTCATCGTGACAAGATGCGATTACTATAATTTCGTTCATCTAATTTATATTGCTTGTCAAAGATTGTCGAAGTACCTTCACGCTGGCGTCTCAATTAGAGATTGGACCGTAATTATTCCCTTATCGTTTGAGGCTGCTCGCGACGAGCCACGCGTCTGTCCAGCCGGTAAATAAAAAATTTCAGGGGGCAGGGGTCAATTGTTCTTAAGAGGCGGCCGCGCTTTCAGAAGTTTCCTCGCGACTGACGTTTCCGCCGGATCGATAATTGCTGTCACCTCGCGTTTGTGCATTCCGCGCGGTCCGCATCGCGAAACGTTCGGACGGCTGTTTCTAAGCACGAACTACTAGGAAGATACTACCGGCACGTGACGGGTCGCATTGCGAAGCATCTCCTTTTGATACATGAAGACCGACCGGCATAGAAAATTCAGTGAACCTCTTCAGCGGCGTGTCTTCCGAGAGTAAAGCGAATATATATTCCGCGTTTCGATAACGGTAATACGAATAAAAGAATATTTCTTTAATCAGTTTCTCCACAACTCAGATTGAAATGCATACCGCGTTTGGGGGACGCGCCACAAGCCGTGCCCTCATTGCACGGGGCACATCACAGCTCGGATAATTGCCTTCGCGAGTATGATAATTATCCGAGAAATTTTTTCACACTGATGTAGACCAACTATTTAAACAGGAATTTCCACGGACACTTCACAGTTAGAATCCTCATCGAATAATTCAGGCATCATCGCTCAGGAAAACTGCTGTGAGTTCTCGTTAGACTTGAGTGGATCCTCCCATTAATAAAAAAAAAAAGCGGCAAACACGAAACATCGCTGCCAATCTCGACAGTAATCGCCGGCCAATATATATAACTCGACGCGTGGTGTACGCATTTTTATTCATTTAATGGTTAAGAATGTACGCATTTCTAAATAGTTAAACAGAATACAGTTACCTGGAAGAAAATGAAATCGCCGTAAAATGGAGTCACGTTGTATGCACGATTCAAATGAGACTTTATTATAGTTCATCGCGATGAATACGGATAAAATTGCCTTTCCATACACCGGGTCTCTGATGTCAAATCAAATGGTATTCGCGTACAAACGAGTCGTATACCGTTACAATCGCGTCAGCTAGCACAATTTTCTATGCCCGCTCGTGGCGCGGCGCAGGAAAATCTTTTATGAATCACAGGAATGCCTCCCCCAAATTGGCAAAGGTCTAAAGTGATATAAAAAACACATACATATGTATTCTCTCGTCTCTCTCTTTATCTCACAACTATCACGGACCGTTATACAATTCAACTACCGCAGTTGTTCGTGTGCATTCAAACAGAAGAAAACGAAATCGACCTAAGCAATAATAATTTTCGAATTTTTACTCCCCCGCGTCCAGCGGTTGTCTATTATTTTCTATTGTTTTATCCCGTCTTATATCAAAGCGAAAACTTCTGACATTTCTGCGGCAATGCCCGAGGAATTTCCGAGACATTGTACGTTTGCAATCGCCGCTCATGATCGAATTATCTCCGGATCATCCGGAAGAAAGGGAGCCGAGGTACTTACATTGCACCTGGCACTTGGTCCTGGGAGCTTAAATCGACGCGGATGCCGGACGAGAGGGCAGCCGTAAAGTCGGATTAATCTCCGGCAATTTATGGAGCATTATCCGCCGACCTTCCGGTACGCGAACAGCTATTAAGGCAGATGAATGTACATCGCCGAGGGGGACGAAACGGGAAGAGGACGACGAGCGGAGACGCTCGCAGGATGAACAGGACGTCTGCGTGTGCGTGAGTGCGCGCGCGTCCTAAACGCGTGTAGATTCACGCACATGGCAGTTGCGTGTCGCTCATATCTCATTCAATTGTGGATAGCGTTACGTCGGGATGTGACGTGGCTCGTACGCACCTGGAAAAATGCGCTGGTTACGCGTATTAACTCCGAGACACGCAGGTACATGTGTGACTGCAGCGACTGTTTCGAAAGCGATTTGCAGAACATGATAGTACAAGAAGTTAAATCTGTAAATAAGTGACAACATTTATAAACAGGAGATAATACGTTCGCGTTAGGAAAAAAAAAGGAGGACAGGTATGACTTTCGCAAAAACGATTCGCTGTATTTCGCCATTTAAACGTCATTAGGCCGACCACGCGTGGACCAAATTAACGGAGAGCACGTGAGTCTGACGATCTGTAAAACTCGGTCATAATAATACGATAATAAAACAATCCCGGGAGGAAAAGGAGAAATCCCGGAGACGTTTTGCTCGTGCAAATCCTTTACCGTTGCGCGATTAAATTTGCACACAGGGATACGCGGTACCACCGTCATTGTCTCGTTACGGTTTGCGGGAGCTGTGTCGTTCGTTTTATTGCTCCCGTACGCTCGAATTAATTCCTGAGGCGTGTAAAGCCGGCAATGTGATGCGCGTGTAAGTCATATTATTTATCTCGCATGGACTATCAAACGAAATACGGCGCTGCCATTGTTCTATAAATCGCGATATGTCGTTTTACGCGGCGACGATGTTTATACTGTCACACATCTCCGGACAATTGATTATAATTTTTAATTTTAATGATAATACGACTTGCATATTTAATGATAAAAATTCAAGTTTACACGAGGATGGTAATAAATGTAATAGTACCACCTTCCGCAATTAGTTGTGCGTTGTATTTAAATTGCTAAGGAACCTTATTAACGATCGCACAATGAGGAAGGCAGGATGAGATACTTAGAGGATACCATTATTATATCACGGTTTTTGTAAGATCGTATAAAAATATCGCGGACGAATTCTCACGTGAACGGCGCGAAAGACGAGTCCAGCTTATTTCGTGATTTATTCGTGACGCAGCATTTGGCTGCGGGAAACGCGAGTGGTATTCGCGGATTATATGAATATCTTTCCTACGTAGCGCTATTGTCCGCTGCGCTATTGCTGTAGTGTACAGTTACGTGGGCGCGTATTGTGTAACCGCGCGCGCGCGGCGTTTATTGTCAATAGAATCCACGATAACATGCGAGAGGCCGCCGCCCTGAAATGCACCGTTCAAGGCTTCAAGGCGGATACGTGACATTGTAAACTCGAATTGTTTACATGCTCGCGTTGCATACCGCCGCGAGATCCGCACCATCTGCTACGCGCGCACGTTGCAGAAATAGCGGTGCTGTACCTCCGGCATTCGCCTCGATACGAATAAAAACGTGCGCGTATTCCTGAGATTTTATAGTGCCGTCGAGCACAATAAAATAAGATCCATAGCGAAACGCGGGAAAAAGCGTGTTTGCGTAACATCCGTAAATTATGCAACCGACACCGATGAAAAAGCGGGCATAATTGCCCCTTTAATGAACCAACTTCCCTATATCCTACTATACATGTCTACGGGCATATTACTGCAGGCCGCGTACGTCGATCGACGTTTTCCGGCAAACTCATCTCTCGCGTCTCTAAGAACGACCCGAAGAAAGTGAAAAAAAATAGGTAGGAAGGCACGCGAGGGACGAACGCGGCCGGGGCGCGCAATTAAAATGTAATCCTCGTATATCCCCCGAGAGACGGCTCGGCTTAAATCAGAAACGCTTCAACAATCAGCCGGGCCCTTCGAGCGGCGCGGCTCATTTGCAGACGGTTCGCATATTTCCCGGCGCGGTGCAAAAAGCTACCGCGGCGAAATCGATATCGGCCGATAGAGCAATCAGCGGCGCCGGTCGGCCGCGGCCGGTCGGCCGGCGGCGGCGCTCGGCGCAAGAAGGCGCGAGTGGCACGCGAGAGGAATAAGCCGAGGATCGTGTATGCGCTATTAAATGGTACATTGCCTTCGCGTGTTATAGAGTCATCTGGTACATGCCACGGCGGGGATAGGTGTACCGGTCCACCGCCGCTCTCTTTCTCTCTCTCCCTCTCGCGTGCCCCTCAAGCAGCATCCGGGACTTCGGTAGACTAGCGCACGTGCGTCTTCAGCTCGCCGAAGAGATTTCATTTCCAAGGGACTGACTTTCTGATTGTGAGATGCTGTCGCGACGCCGCGTCGTCTCGTGAAAAGAGCCGTGAGAATATAGCCGAAATAATTAATTTATCCATACGCCTCTCTCACGGTCAGAAAGGGTCATTGAAACGCAATGTTTCATGTACATTTATTTTAAGGTTTATGCAAGAGCGCGCGATATATCGCCCGATAAAGTGTATATATATAAGTGTTACAAATCACACGGTGAGTTTTACGGAAACCGTGCACACATGTTTGCCGACTGGTTAACCAGCTGCGGACGCTCGGATAAATTCGCATCGTGTGACCTTGTAATGTACCGTTGAGGATGGTCAAGGACCCAAGGAAGTTCAAACGCGATTAAGCGCGGCTCGATCACGAGGAATTAACGTTAGATTTCCTCGCTGGCTGAGTAGGTACTCGTTGCTTTCGGATACGAGCGATCATCACGACGGCGATTTTTTACCTGGCCGTTACCGTTGTAACGATTTGTAGGATTTATCGCGGCGCGCCGTCGAATTAACCACCACGGTAAGACGAACGCGCGTGATCGTGGTTCTAATGATTTCAATCATTACGATGTGCGATCTCGGAGCTGTACTGTAATCTTTTCAATTGGAAAGCGTGAATGTGTACAGTATGTGCAGGGCGCAAATAATAGCTGCGAATATAATGATTAATAACCCATTAATTAACACGTCTAAGTTTGCTATTGTGAGCACGTGGAAGCGAAAATTATAGCGACGAGAAGAGAACGCGCGTTTCTCGAAATTATGTCGTAAATTTCGCACGGGGCGCGCGAATTGGCAATGGCGTACGAAATTTATGTGGCGAAACTGGCGACGCAAGCCAGTTCGCTCGTTCTTATTTCGATGTTGCGACGACGACGGATGGAATTTACCTGGGTTTGAAACTTACTCGTGTCGAAAATCATATTATAGCGGTGCGCTGACAGTAAATTTATTTTATTCATATACATACCCGCGATATAAATCATCCGCCCACGATTGCGCGGTCCGCCAACAGCTCCTTAAGCAACTTGCTGAAAGGTAATCCCCGTGCTTGAAAACGTGTTGGAATCTTGATAAACCGTATGGCACTCGGAGTAGGAATCTCACCCATGACGTAGACCCTCGTGGATGATTGTCTTTCTTTAGGCCTGTAGCGTTTCCAAGTTAATAAAGTTTCCTAACAAATATACATCTAAGCAATCTACTCTTATTCCTTTTCCTCTTAGTTTAAATTATCTTTTACTTCTCTTTTTGCTTAACTATGCACTACATTATCATTCGCAAAAGTGCATGTAGTAGAATATAGTTTTGATGTGTAAATGTATGTGAATGTCCATTGTACAATGAGCTCGAGTCCGTGAGTTCTCTATGCCCAAATAATCCTATGTGGATCGGTCCAGTCCTGTGGGACGAATAATTGTTAGGATTCTTTTCGAGGTGACAATAATAGACAATAGTAAAACGGCCACGCGGAAATGATCCTACAAAAGATGAAGTAGATTTGTCACTGACACGCATGCATGCGTGCTGTTAAATTTCATTAGCGTTTCTCTTCGGCTTGACACAACCGAGTTCAAAAAAACGGCTGATTAATGATCTTTTCAATTTTTTGACCGAGCTTTGAATTTCACAACTGTACTCAAAGAAATAAAAACGTTCTATAGCTTGAATTGCTTCATGAACAAAATGACGCAAAGGATAAAGCGTGTATACGCGGCTAAATTTCATGCAGGAAGAAATTTAATTCAAAATTGATATAAGGCAAGGTCAGGTGTGCTACAATATTGTACGCGAATATCGCTTTTAATCCTTCCGCTACAAAAGGCGATGATAGCCAACCGTAAAATTACATCCTTCGTGTGTTGAAAAATCGCCTTACAGGTTACGCTACATTACATACATAATGCATTGCAGGTTTGTAAGAAGTGAGCTGGGATATCGCTTTTAATTCTTCCGCTATTAAAGTCAACGTGACGATGATCAAAATATCTCTAACAGAATTTTTCTGCCTTGGAACTTTTTTCAGTATATTATTGAAACGATAAACATACTATATATTAGCCGTACAATATTAAAATTTCTATTCGCGATAAATTATAATCGAATAGATAAGAAGAGAAAGAGATTTCTGCTTGCATCATTCAAGAGTTCAAATAAAAACTTGTTCGTTATCATTTGTATAAAGAGAACTATATTTTATATTTTATAATTTGTTGCAAAATAGATTTTTTAATTAATAATATATTTCAAAGACTTTAATGTAATCAAGATAATATTCAAAGATCATCACGTTCAGAAAGCTTGTCAATCAATTCCCGAGAGGATAAAAGACAAATACAAATATGAATTTATCGCGTATCATCTTCCGGAAAAACAATCGTCGAGTCTTCTCGCGGGCTGAATTGCCTCTCTCAACAAATACGCGCGTAAGCGAAAATCACGAAGTTCCCAGGAAGAAGCGATGACGTTAAAGTGTAGCTTTAGCTATACGGCTTATATTTACGAGATGCCCATAGCCTATAATTCCTTCCTTCTTCCAGTTATCGTACTGGCAAGCCCTGTCATTATCAAGCGTGCACCTCAAACACCATGGTTAGCTAGGACGTTGCACTAGCAAACGGCCGCGTCGTCTTTTCTCTCGATACCTCGAAATCGATAGTGCGCGACTTTTTGTTTCGCGTCCCTGGCTACCATCCTTCGCGCAAACGAGGAAGGAAATGGAGAAATATTCCCCCTCTGTGATTTACTTAGATTATCGTATCACAGAAAGCCGATAATCGGACAATGTTATCGGTACGTTATAAGGTTCTGAACCGGAAATTGCCGTTGGCGTTTAATTTTTTTAATGACGAATGCATTGTTGCGAACATGAATCTTATTTTAACCCTTTTATTAACTCTTTTACGTGTTATTTATACGAATAAAATCAGCCACCTGTATGAGACTATAAGGAACTACTAATGTCTATATTATATTCACAGATATAAAAATATAGATCGTAGTTGTGTGTGTGTGTGTGTGTGTGTGTGTGTGTGTAATATTTAATTTCATAATTTATACGTAACCATATGGCTATGACAGAGGTAATCATTTTAAAACTTCTGTCATTTTTAGTACGACTATAAGAAGTTATCCACTTTATTATATATAATACATTCCGGAAATAAAAGGCAGGTGTTTTTTTTTAAATTTCATGGTGGCAATAAGCATGTCAAAAATGTCATTGAACAGTTAGCGTCTTACTTAAAATGTGGGTGGCCTGAATATCTGAATATTTTATCGTGACGGAGCATATATATGTAAGAACATATATATAATGCGTGATTCACACTACATAACAGTGTTTAGCGACACAGCGTGGACTGCCACTCGACTCGCATACAAATACGCTTATGTCACCATTGCAAAACGCGCGACAGTTTCACGCTCGGTCGTTGATCTCTATAAGAAAATCACACGTATATTTTACTTCGATATTAAATACTAATAATAATTCATGATTTTTATAAGTTCTATCATCAATTAGATTAATTAGAATATGTTGTAAGATTATCGGTATTCTTTTTAGAATAACGTATCCACAGATTTTACAAATAGAATCTCGAAATGATCGCACGATTATATAACGCGCGTCGTTTCGGCAGTATAGTCACAGTTTATTTTGGTCATTCTTGCCTACGCTCAAGACTCGCGACCATCAACTTCCCGTTCGTACGCGAGCGAAACCTTGGGATCTTGAACTTGACTTGGAGCCCATGGTCGTCATTGCAACCTTCCAGATTATTACCGTTAGCCATTGCCGCGTTGACGTAATATACGCAGGCACGTTTCTTCCCTGTCATACCTGCCTACTTGAAACTAATTATGACATTTAACGTACGCAAGCATCGTATAGTCGTTCACTTAAACATTTCGCCGCTACGCATAAGGCGCTACAAAACATATGGAGTCTTAGGTCATGTATGCACATACCTTATTAACACCGATGGCATTTTGCAACGCGTCTCTATGCGCGAGCGATTGTAAAGACGATCGGTTTTACGAAAATAACAGTGATCGGTTAGCTCTTTCAACATCAGATCTGTATTTATTCAGGGAAAGCTCTTTAAATTTCACATGTTACTTGTATGCAGATACTTGCAACTGTAAATATCTAAAGAAAATTTACATTAATTCTTGTATTCGTTTTAAGATTTTACTTTATTGCTATATAATACTTTGACGAGTTTTCGAAGATCCGAAATAAAATCTGTTACTTAAATTGTAAGCAAAGTATGTCTCAGCATGGTCGATAAAGTTACACGAGATTTATATTCGGAAGTAATTGCCATCTTGGATGATCCCGGCGGTATTCTATTCACGCGACGAAGAATGCAGGCGCGCGACGAAAAATGTCTGGCGATTCCGAAATAATTGCTCATCGTCGAATTGCGACACCTTATCCCGAAGATTACGCCCCGTTAAAGTGCTGCGGATCGTAAACTCGCGGCAACTCACAGTTTTATTTTATGAGACACTCCGGCGCGCACTGAAAATGCCGTAATGTTTGCGGACCGGCTCGGATTATGGCGATGATTACTCCCCGCCGTGCGCGCGTTAGCGTGGCGACGATCTTTAGCAGCACGCGGCATCCGTCCACCTCGTGTTTATCCCATAACGTTAATTACGAGTCTTTGATGCAAATGGCAGTTTCGTCGAGAACGAGCTGTAATCGCGATATCTTTAGAGAATAAAGCTTCCATAATGTGAAATTTAGCGGATATTGCATCAATAATCGTATTGAGATAGCAGTAGACATGATATAAAATTGTGTTAATTGTACAGACAATGTGAGTAAAAATATTTACTCTTATATAACGCGCTAATTGTAACGTAAATTTTTGTGTAATTTATCCATTTGTATTGATTAATAACTGGGCTTTATTATACTGGGCCTTATTATAGGTAAAATAAAATGATTTGAGATCCAATAAATATTCCATCATGAAACAAAAGAAATTTTTGAATAGATTATTTTAGAATTAATCACGATTTTATATTAATAAATAATAATTTTGGATATAGTATATATTTTTAATATATATGAAAAATAATTTTTTAACAGTATATACAATATAGTAATAAAATATTTAAATTAATATGTTAAAGGTAAACATGAATAATGAATTTACATGAGAATTATATATATGGAAAATTTATCATCTTATTTGGATCTCATTTCTGAATTTCTTATTTGATTGAAATTAGTTCGAATCGATAAATCGACAAAGATGTGGACCTTAGCTTTTTTCGATTCGTGTGTAGCAATTTTTACCGCGATTTATAAATAAACATTATTAAAGTTTTTGCTATATTGATGCTATTAAAAAAATTATTATTACTATTAGGTTTCTATTTGTTTTGTGGAAATTAATATATACAGAAATTTCTAACATTCGGAAAATGTAATCAAGTGTTTACAAATTAGAACATGGTTTTTATACATTTTTTTCAAACTTATAAATATATTTGAGATCCTTTACCTCAATAAAAAAATTTTCTCACTCACCGACCGATGCGCAACAACGGAGTTGTCGACTACGTTGATACTGTAACACAAATAAAAGATCCACATTAAAGCAAGGTATAAAAAACAACATATTAAAAAAATAAATATTGATTGCAATTCTATATTCTTCAACGTACTATACAACGTATTATAATAAATTCATATCGAATATCCATTTTTTACATTTTTGATTAATTTCGATGCATGCCTATATCATAGCTGTACATTCAATCTGATATTTTTTTAATGAGTAGACGTAACTTACCGTAAAATTATGGAATTATTTATGGAATTTATTTATTATTACTACCGCTTAATGCCACTTTAATATCTTGAGAGAATTGAAATTATATGCCTTTAAGTATAAATCAAAAATCTTAATAAAATAAAAATTATTATCTTCCAAAGAAAGAAAGTAATTAAAATTTCATTTTCTAGTAACAAGTCTTATAAATAATCATTATTTTAATTTTCAACGGAAATGACATGGTAATAGAAAGTGGAATCCGTTTTAACCCATTTATCTGTGTATGTCTGCGTCATGAATTTCCGATGTTTATCTAAATATTTCGAGCAGCATACGGCGGCTAAAATGACTTCTCAACGTGTAATTGCGCAATGTTCAAGCTAAGATTATAAAAGACGAATAAATTCGTGGCCACGATTCATAACGATAACAGAATGCAGCGCGTACCGTAAGTGTTAAACGCCAAGATAACAGCGGCAATATCGCCAACATCTACCAGCGCTAATCAGGGTTAATTAAACCTTTGCTATTCATTTGAGAACGGTCATTATAATCCAGAAGGAGAGGCAGGAGAAACACTCGAAGTACGGTTAAGTCAACCAGTCTAGACGTGAATAATGACAAAAGTTAAACGGCTCGCGTAGGTGTGGAGACCCGGAAAATGTACCGCAAAATCACGTTCCTCGGCCGGCAACCGTGCTGGCCCATATTTATCCAAGTTTCGGAGGCGTATACAGTTATCTCGCCTTCGACGTAGTTTGGAACGCAGTGCGTTCTTTTCCAGGCGATCTCGAGATTCCGCAAATCTCGTAAAACATTCCGACAGCCCCGGCAGCTGCGTGCCGCAACGGTTCCGTGGTTCCCTTTACACGATATTCTTCGCTCCTCTTTTCTCGCGACGAACGCCAACGACCGCGCAGAATTCGAATTCCCTCGGAGCCTTTCCTACGGGGAATTCTTCCGATATTTGATGTAAATATATTTGATTTAAATGCGCTTTTTTTTTAAATATGAATAACGGAGAAATCACGATCTAAACGCGTAAATTTTCAAAGCAAAGACGATCGATACAACAAATAAAACTTGACGCTGTAAGTACTGATCTCTCGCATCCGGTACATATTTGGAAGTTTTTAAAAAACGAATTATTTTAATCTCGCGTGACATGAAATATATAGATAAGTAAATGAACACTCTGTATAGAATTTGCACAGGATGAGTAAGACGCATTATCCTGTCGAAGTTAAGATGCGAGCTATGCGGAAACGTCAAAAATATCCCGTGGAGCCCTGACATCCCGCGGCTACGGGTCCATTACGGGTCACGTAGCTCAAGTTCGGATGCTGTTTTAAGTTTCAAGGAACACCAGCTTCACCAATTTCGTCGAGAGCAAAGGTTAAAATTCGCCGTCATTACCGTAATGGCGCGAGAAGACGCTTTTTAAGTACAGTAGTTAGATAATAAGCGTTAAATTACGCGGAGACAAAAACCGCCCACGTTCGCGGTATAATAACGACTTCCCTACTGCACAGGTAATAATGAAAATTTGTAGGTTGGCTCGGAGTCGTTGGACGTAATGCGTGATGAAACCAGTAATTTGTATTCAATCTCGCAGTTGTAATTGAATAATTTTGACAAGCAATTATTTAGATCCAAAAGTTCCCGAGTCTCTATAATTATATATATAGAAGAATAAAAATAATTGTTTTATTTATAACATCTTTTTTATAACATCTTTTTTTATATCCTTAGACCGAAAATTTTTGGACCTTACTATATGTGTTCAATTTTCTGTAAAGTTTTCTTAACAATAAAATGTCTATAATAATAATATCTAAATATCTATAACGCACATTACTTTGATCCTTTTTGATCATAAAATCCTAAACCAATATAATCTGAATAAAAAAATTGCTGCCTTAAAATTAAAATTTTACTCTGAAATGTAAACGTAATTGAAATGTGGAACCTGTTACATGTCGCGTTGCACATCAAGTCCTGCAGAAATTCTCGACGCGGCGGTTCGTGCGCGAAATTCACGTCGCTCGTCTGTTTCCCATGAGCGAGTATTCTAATTTTTACCCTGTGACACGTAGCTAGCATTCCACTTCTTTGTCCCCGCATTTTAACTTTGCTTTATCTTCCGCGGTGCGAACACGGCAGTAG